GCACTAAAGTTATTAATAACTAATTATTGAAAGGACTTAGAGCACTAAAAACTATATGTGAAAGTTGCTGAAGGTCCAGACTTCATTCTTCAATCATAAAAGTTCACAAAATCATTCTAATTAATGAGTTATTAATGATTTTTCATGGATTGACTTAATCTGGGGCCTGATAAGTGGAGCTCAGCGGACAGGCAGCCAATAGGAAGCGTTTTCTCTCTGTCCTAGTCGCACACTAGTGCTTTCCTTGTCTAATACCTCTGTTAACATTATGTTTTACTAGTAACGAATTATTAGTTCGCGAAGCCAAACGCGAGATGGCGTCAGTTTTACTTTGAAATTGTCTGTCCTTGTCTATCCATATATCTTTCCTTGTCTAACACGCGTCTCTATTGCTATCCTTGTCTACCCGTCTTCCTTTCTTTGTCTAACACATTACACGAGTTCTATCCTTGTCTACCCGTATTCCTTTCCTTGTCTAACTCATTTTATTAGTGCTATCCTTGTCTAACTATATTCCTTTCCTTGTCTAACTCGTTTCTCTAGTGCTATCCTTAACTAACCCTATTTCTTTCCTTGTCTAACTCGCTTGTCTAGTGCTATCCTTATCTACCGCTATTTCTTTCCTTCTTTAACTCATTTCTCTAGTGCTATCCTTATCTACCGCTATTATATATATATTTAATGGATACTTATTATCAATATTTAGTTGTTTTAACATTACTAATAATGTAGATAGTAAAATATAGTATCTGGTTTATTTTCGAGTACTTTAATTATAGAACAGCAGTAGCAGGATAAGAACTTTCATATCGGTGATCTGTAAGTAGCAAGATACCTTTATTTCACTGTTCATCTTTAAAACATGAATGCACACACTGTTGCAGTCTCTACTCTCGAATGCAACATCGATGGAAGCACTATTTCGAATGCAAAACATTGTTGTACGCGTTACTTTTGAATACAAACATTGTTGGAATCTCTAATTCTGATTGCAACATTATTAGAAGCGTTACTTCGAACGCAAACCTTATTACAAGCACTACGCTTGAATGTAACATTGTTACAATCGTCATTCTCGCTGTAACATCGTTAACTCGTATTATTTTCGAATGCACATTGTTGCAAAACGCGTTATCGGGTTTTCAACTTTGTTGTCGCGAAATTTGCACATTGTTGCACGACGCCCCGTTTTACAACAATGTGCAACTTTCGGGAGCGATTCGCGCAACAAAGTTGCAACTCTCCTAAACAATGATTTAGATGGTAGTTTATTGTTATTGGAAGTCTTAAATAGAATTATTACATGCTTTAACCTAATAAAATAGCTTAAATTGTTAATTTCATATTGAATTAACAATTGCATGCAGCAGACATTTTACATTTAACATTTATTATAAATATTTCATTCGGTTAACATTACTTGTAGCGAGTAGATAGTGAAATAAAGCTTAAACTTTACTTTCAAGTATTTTAATTGTAGAATAACTAGTGTTTCTTGCTAAATAACAATTTAGATGGTTGTTTATAACTGTTGCAAGTGTTAAATAAAATTATTGTAAGCTTTACCTTAATAGAACTGCTTAACATGTTAATTTCGCACTGAATTAACCATTGAATTCGGTAGATTCGTCGGAAATTGTTTATAACTTTTATTAACAATTAGTAAAATTAATGTTTTTCTTGTATAAATTACAGGTGGAACTTCCAGAGCACCATCAGAAGCAAGGAAAGGTCTTGAACATCAGGAGAAACGAAGAAATGCAATTAATTATGAAAATATCAATTATTTATTGCAAATTTATTGTACAAAATGTATATTACAAAAGGTTACAATATACCAGTATTGTTTTACAGCATTTTACAGTCTATTTACTTCTCCTTTACACACCAAATCCATTTCCTTTTGAAAGAAACCCATTGTTTAAACAATATTTCATTGCAAAATTAAATAAGCATTAGAAAATGTATATTACAAAAGGTTACAGTACTCCAGTATTGTTTTACAGCATTATACAGTCCATTTACTTCTCCCTTACACACCAAATTCATTTTCTTTTGCAAAAAACCCATTGTTTAAACAATATTCCATTGCAAAATTGAATAAACTAATGCCAGAAACCACCAGGAATGCGTAATCATCGAAAAATTCGAAAAAATCCCGAAATTCTAGCGTAAACTACGGAAATTACGGAAATATTTCCCGAAAAATTCGAAAAAACCCCGAAATTCTAGCGTAAACTAAGGAAATTACGGAAATATTTCGAAAATCGCGCGAATATACTCGTTCGGTGCTCGAGTCCCCGAGAATTCCTGGAAATGACGTCATTTCTCGGAAATGACCAAAATTCCAAGAATCGAGTCACTTCCAGGAAGCGACCTCCTGTCACATCATGTTCGCCTATTAGAAAGTCGATTTTCGGCCAAAAATTTTCGAAAATCGAAAATCCTGACTTTGTATTAGGCGAATATGATATGACAGGAGGTCGATTCTTGGAAGTGCCTCGATTCTTGGAAATCACGTCATTACCAAGAAATGACGAAAATTCCAGGAATTCTCGGGAACTGAAATTTTCGAAGACCCTTTGGCTGAAAATCGACTTTCTAATAGGCGAACATGATATGACAGGAGGTCACTTCCTGGAAGTGACTCGATTCTCGGAACTGACTAAATTCCAGGAATTCTCGAGGACCGAAATTTTCAAAGGGCCATTGGTCAATTCTTGGAATCGCGTCGATCCTCGGAAATTTCGTCATTTCTCGGAAATAACGAAATTTCCGAGAATCGACGCGATTCCAAGAATTGACCAATGGGCCTTCGAAAATTTCGGTGTTCGAGAATTCCTGGAATTTTCGTCATTTCCGAGAAATGACGAAATTTCCGAGAATCGACGCGATTCCAAGAATTGA